CTCAGAGGCCTGTTTCAGGGTGGCGCTTCCCTTTGGAGGCTGTATCTGGGTGGCGCTTGATGTTTCAGGGGCTCAGGGGTGTCACGAGTGGTTACTCAGGGTTGGGGAGTGAAGCGCTGCTCATTTCTGAGCAGCGCACTGTAGTATCGAGGTTATCCTGACAATTCGAGACTCTGAGTTTAATCACCAGTGTGATACTGGGTTCGGACTGTCATTGTTTCATTGTTTCCTGGATGTGATGTACTCGGCTTTTCTTTATGACTGGTTGTGAGGATTGAGTGGAGTGAATTGCACTTTCAGTGTACCCTGGCCTTCCGCTGTGTTTATCTCTCCCTGTGCGGTGTGATACTCCTATCCTCTCCCCTTCCTTCTGTGCATGTATGGGCATACCTGGAAGTCTATGTGTGCAAGTGTTGGTCTCAGACAACAAACAACCAGAATGATAACATCTGCCTCCCACTCCCACTCCCACTCTCACTCTCACTCTTATAGCTTCATCTCATTGCCACACTGCCACTGCTATTCTCCAATCCCGTAACGGAGGCCCAAAATTTCAGTATTNTCCCACTCTCACTCTCACTCTTATAGCTTCATCTCATTGCCACACTGCCACTGCTATTCTCCAATCCCGTAACGGAGGCCCAAAATTTCAGTATTTTTTTAATGCTATTTATAAGAAAACCTAGTTATAATGCTCCCATGCAAGACTCTTTTCCCTCCTGGGCCTATGGCGCTGCGGGCGCTGCACGACATTGCAATTGTGATCCGTTTGGCGCATTTTTGAAATCTCTGGGCGTATGTTGGAATACAAGTACATAGCAAGTTTAGTGCGTTATGGAGTCGCATACATTGACAATCAAAGAGTGACAATGAAGCAAGTCGACGGCCGCAGCAGTTCACAAGTACACAGACAAAACCACCAAACTTAGAATAGATTGAAAAAGATTTCCGCAGTGCAGGAAGGCGTCCCCGATGCCGCGTTTCGGCGACAGCCACGTCGTCTTCTTCAGGGGGTTCCCACCATCTCCAACCCCAGCCGTTCACAAGTCAGTATGCAAACTGACCACTAACTAAACCAGTTCCGCTTCCCTAACTCCAGCAGTCCGGACTGCTTGGAGGTCGAAGAATGCATCAGCCTGGAAGAGGAGTGCTCCCGTTTTTTTTTTTGTTTTTTTTTTTTGTATTTTTTTTTTTTGTAGAAAAGCTGCCTTCTCCTCATCGGGGACAGCCATATATTTTTCTCTCACCTCACATATCTTTTAACTGGCGTTCTGCCATGGTGGACGCTTCGTTTCTGCTCTTTGTTTTTTTTTTTTCCCTCTTTTGGCTCCACGCGCTATTAGGCTGTAAACCCGGTAGGACCGAGGGGCCCTCCCCCAACCGGAACCGGACCGGTCCTACCGGCCGGTCGACCGGGTCGGTTCCCCCCGGTTGGCCGTAGCGCATCAATTTTATTATTATTATTATTATTATTTTAAAGCCCAGGGTGTTGTAGAGGCCAAGGACTAGACCCACGGTGATCGGTGGCAGCGGCAGCCGGTGGTTGTCCTGACAGGATAGGCCACCTTCCCTACCCTTCCCCATGTTAAATACTCCCAGCGCACCCCCTATATCCCTGCTATCCTACCTCAGTGTGACCAGCACTCAGGACCATCACCCTACCAGGATCGAGGGCAACTTGGACCAGACAGCAGTGACAAGCACCAAGGGGTTGAAGCGCACCCAATCTGGGGGGTCTTACCCTTTTTCTTATTTGGGCCAGGAGGCCTCCACGCAGGCCGTGGAGGTCTCCTGGGCCAAAACTAAATCAGACCGGGCCCTGTAGGCCTGCCAAAAAGGCTTGAAAAGGGTGGCCTATCTAGACCGCTGATCTCGAGAGAACCGCAGCCCAGATAGGCCGCCCTTTTCAAAGTTTTTGGGTGGGAAGTACCGTCCCTACCCCGCAACTAACATCCCCACCCCCCCTTTTCAAAGTTTTTGGCCGGAAGGTCAAGCCAGGTACGCTGTTGTCAATGTCGGCTGAAGCCCGTGCTTGCTGAAAACCCACCACTAACACCCTCACCATAAACCCCCCAACCCC